TCAGGAACAGGCCGTCTGGGCGTTGGGCAACATTGCCGGCGATTCACCCGAATGTCGCGATTATGTGTTGAGTAACAGCGCTTTAATGCCTTTACTTCAGTGAGTATTGCATTTGTCATTACTTTGTGTTTGTATGCATTTCTTGACCTTTCATGTGATCAATAGATTGCTCAGTAAGTCCTCGCGAATATCGATGACCCGGAACGCCGTGTGGGCGCTCTCTAACCTGTGTCGGGGTAAAAACCCTCCGGCGAAGTTCGAAACAGTCAGTCCATGTCTACCAGTGTTGGCGCGACTTCTCTTTCATAGTGATAGTGATGTGTTGGGCGACGCGTGTTGGGCCCTCTCCTACCTGAGCGATGGGCCCAATGAGAAGATTCAAGCGGTGATCGACGCGGGCGTCTGTCGCCGATTAGTGGAACTGCTGATGCATTCGAACCAAAGTGTAGTGTCGGCGGCACTGAGAGCTGTGGGCAATATAGTGACCGGCGATGACATGCAGACCCAAGTAATCCTCAACTGCAACGCTTTGCCGTGTCTTTTGCACCTCTTGTCCAACAGCAAGGAGTCCATTAGGAAGGAGTCGTGTTGGACTATATCTAACATCACTGCCGGCAACAAACAGCAGATCCAAGCCGTCATTAACGCCAATATATTCCCCATTTTGATCGAAATCCTGTCGAGAGCTGAGTTCAAGACCCGTAAGGAGGCGGCCTGGGCTGTGACCAACGCCACGAGCGGCGGTTCACCCGAACAAATCAAGTTTCTGGTCGACCAGGGATGTATACCTCCGCTCTGTGAGCTCCTCACTGTCATGGATCCAAAGATAATTCAAGTGGCGCTCAACGGCATTGAGAATATCCTCAGATTAGGCGACGTCTTATCCAAGGGTCCAAACAGTAATGGCGTCAATGAGTTCGCCGTCAAGATTGAGGAGTGTTATGGTGAGTGTTGTCTCGAAACCAATGGTCATTCGGGATCTAATGAACTGATTCGGGATCTAATGAACTTTGTCTTGTTTTGTAGGACTCGACAAAATAGAGTTCTTGCAATCGCATGAAAACGTAGAGATCTATCAAAAGGCTTTTGAGATAATCGAGCGATACTTCGGCACAGAAGATGAAGAGTCGGCGATCGCTCCCGGAGTCGATGAGAACAATGAGTTTCAGTTCGGTTCGGCCGACACCACAAACCCTGAGTTTCAGTTTTAAATCCGTTACCGTTTAGCAAAAGAAATGTCAAAACCAATAGTCAGACATGGATTCCATCGCAGCTTTACTTCAGTTTTATTTGAATTATAACTTAGTTTTTATAGAAAAGCGAAAGATTTACTAACTATTCGGACCCGAAATGAGTCTCAAATGGGTTTCAATTAATTAAATCTTGTTATTCAGACATCTTTTGCTCTATTGTTCTAATTATGCGATTATAAGACAACAAATAATACATACATTTAATGAACGCCAACAACATATTAATATAATAATAATAATGAAATTTAACCCAAAATGTGTAATAATTATTGATTCGCTACTGTTGTAAAACACAATTAAAATACAATTGAATACTGAATACAATGTAAAGTTTACGACTTTTTACAAAAACAACATTTTTAAAAAATGTACAGAAATTAAAGTTTAACTAATAAAGTGTCAAATGATCATTAATTTGAGTTTAAATCACTTAAACATTTGATTGATTTGTAGTGCACTTGAAAACCGAGATTCAAAATGACTTGAATTTCTATTCCTCCGAACACTTTAAATGTTCTCTAATTAAATATTTTTGAACTAAAATTTGGTTAAAATTTATTAAAAATTGAAAAATAAATCCGCATTTAATAAATAAAAGTTAATCTCAATCTAATATAGATTATCGAAATAATAGTCAAAGCAATCAATTTGATTGACTGAATGGTTGATTGGCAACCCATAAGTCAATACAATTGTCATGAATTGACAACTTTTTCTCTCGTCTTTACTATTTAACAACAACTGATCCCATAATTAACTTTTATGCGAAGTCCTCTTAGGATAGGCGGGGTTTTTGCCCAAAATGGGTAACGGATGCGCTTCAGTGTTAAACACCCACTCGTCGAAAGACACTAAATCGTCGGTCGAGAAGATTAGATACAAATATTTGAATGTTTCGGCCAATAGAAAGCTCTGTTGGACGTCGTCTTTAGGACTATTCACGTCGTAAACGTTTTTAATGCCTGAATATCCCGTCTCTGTCCGGCAGTACTTGTGGATGGCCTGAGCGGCACTCCAGGCCCAGTCTCTGTATTTGGGATCGTGTGTCACTCTCCACATGTAAAACCAGCCCTCAATCACTTCAGGTCTTTGGATGTAATACTTCTCATTCGGTCTAATGGTTGCAAAGAATCACAATTGAAGCAAATGTAACAGAGATGGACACCAGTGCTCATTACATACCTAACAGCCTTCGCCTCCACGTTTTCCGAGAATCTGAACGATTCGGGACCTATTTTGGTGTCCGTCCGGTCGTACGATTCATGACAAGTTCGCGCCAATTCAGCGCCCAATTGCACGAAATGCTCCTTTTGTTTGATGTCGAGTGACTGACCGCTGAGTGCGATGAGTCCGCCGGAAAAGCAGGCCAAGTGGTCCATCTTGTGCTCGAGTCTGTCGTATTTCATTTCCGCCAAATATGTCAGACCTGACACTGACTTCTTCACCAAATTCTTCTCAATAGCATCGATGGCTTCGTCCCACATCTGTCGCGCCTCCATATCCTTACCGCCCGATTGGATCCACTCTTTCAGTAGATATTCATAAAAACTGTCTCCGAGTGCACCCATAGATATGTGAGCTTTCAATCAATTCACAAACAATATATAATTCACTTAATGTTAACGACAAATGATTGAGTGTTTAATTATTGCTAAATTAAGGCTTAAAATGTTACAATTCTTGGCAAGAATTTCTTGCTATTGATAAAAAGTTTAAGAAATGTTCAATTATTGGCAGTTATTGTATTTATATAGGAATTGCCATATTTTGCAAATAAAAGCTCAAAATAACTATTGGTATAATTAGTATTAAACCCCAATTTAATAACTAAATTAAATGTTTGAAAAATGCGTCTATTTTTACATTGAATATGAGGGCCGTGAAGCCCTTTGGGTAGAAATTGAAAAAGGAGCAGAATTATAATATGCCTGACTATGCACTACCTGTCAATACAGTGTCTTAGGATTAATGTAATATAGCATTACAGCTGTTAATGCATTCAAACACACATTATTTGCATATTTTAAAATAAATCATTAAAATAATAGCACAAAATCATTTCAAATAATATTATGGTAATAATTATGAATACATACGTTGACCAAATTGTCCGGTTTTGGGGTTAATATAGTTAGGATAGAGTCCTCCGTGAGGTTTAGTGAGTGCATTGAGAATGCGTCTAACATTC